GGGTAGAAAGGCTCATGGATTTATCTGATGTAATATACAGTTATCTTCAAGTAATTCAGGGTGATGTTTAGGGCAATAGTTCATGATCTCCCTTTGAGGGGTTTTGAACCTACAAAGTAGCTTTAACCTCTATGTCAACTAGGGCTGCATGGCACTGTGAAAACGCGGATATGTGATTGTTGTTGTTAAATGTTGCGATAATGATATTCCACATGGTATAACTTACTGAAAGCTATTTTATCATCAGTTTAACCAAATAGCTTATGTATGTAAAGATCATATTAATATAAAGAGCTAATTAAATAAAAGAAATCAAAGTCAAGGTGCAAACATTCATTCATTCATCTTCCTTCAGCTTATTCTCTATATCAGAGGTCACCACAACGGAATGACCTGCCATAGGCTGGTGTAAGCTGGATTTTTCAGCAGGGCTACGTTTTCAGAATGAGCCTTTGTTGCCAATCTAATGGCTCTTGGCCACGCCCCCTTCATCTTCCCCCTCCCCGTCTGACAATAATAAATCAGATTCTTGTTTGTAGGTAATTTCAAGTAATTAGTTTGGTTTTGCAGCCATGTTGCTGCTATAGTTTGTGTATTCAGGAACAACTCTCAAACCCGTTTGTTTGTGTCATGGTCTTGAAAAATCTCACTTTGAAAAGCCCTATCTCATAACCCTACAACACCAAACTAAAGAGAATTGGGTGAAGTGGAAGAGCTAAGGGGTAGAATTGGGATAAGGCCTATTGTACATGAAGAGTTCAGATGCTACTAATGAAGAAAGCTAATGCTAATGACATTGAATGAATGCTTTAGGCACGTAGTACTCCATTAACAAGTAGATTTGCTTCAAATCATCTAAATCCCAGCGTCAGAGCATTCAGAAACAACAGTTTGTTGGCCGCTAAACGCTACTTGCCTTTGACAAAGGCGCTATATCTCGAGAACCAATCAGAAGCGCGAATCAAATCATGTGCTTTCAATGTAGCGGCGCGCTAATACGTCGGCTTTTATAAGGAGACATTTTCCGCTTATGATTTTAAAAGACGGAGTTTGATGAACTGGATGAGCCTGTCCAATGGTCAGTGATTGTCAAATGAAAACGTCTCATATCTCAAAACTGCATTATAAGAAAAGAAAACACACTGTACAGTCGGATGTGTAGCATGCATTTATAACGTGTTTTTGCGCAGCGACGCTACTTTGAATGAGTCCGATTTACTATACATTAAACAGCAACTCCATTTCACGAAAGACAGAGTTAAGATGCCGTTCTTTTATCCCACATGAATGCTATGAGGATAAACAAGAGACCAAGACCTTAAATATGGTGAGAATAAATGAATAAATGAATGACAGCTTCTAAAATTGTCTGAGAGGCGTCTTCTTTTTGCACAGTAGCCCTACATTGTGTTTTATTTGCTAATTTAAGCTATTTTTATAAAATATAAATATAATATATAAAACTCTACATTGTTTATATTACTTCATAATACCTTTAGATCTGATAAGCTTTTAATATTAAAAGACAATGCACAGATATTGATGTTTCATAATGTTTTACATTACATTATTTAAATCCACCAAGCTTAGTTTACAATTTTTACATTGCTCTTACATTAAATCTAAATGCCAAATATCAGAAATGCCAACAGATTGTTAAGAATTAATTAAGGTCAGTTTGAATGTTATTGATTAATGCACTTTGATTAATGCACTTACTTTACAGATTTCATTCATTCATTTTCCTTCTGCTTTTTCCCTGGATTATCACAGCGGAAGGAACCGCCACTTACTTGACAGATTTATATATTTTTAATTTCAGGTGTTAATGTGTTTTATGTTTGGTAAAATAATTTCAAATGGCATCTTCATTTTCAACTAAATACACTGTCTTATTCCAATAGGTGGATTTATGGCTCGTTTCCACTGACTGGTAAAGTACGGTACGGTTTGGGTCGGTACGGGTGCATTTCCACTACCCATGGTACCCTTTTGGTGGGCGTGGTGTATGACAAAGTTTCAGTCGCATCATTCTCGCTCGAGGAAATGTCTACAATAAATCTGTACGGGTCGCTCACATATCATATGAGAAGCACTTCTCACAAAACAGATGCTTAACACACATAAATACTTCTGTATAAATGTTCATTACTAACTTTTAATTAATTTAACTTTTCTATGAACAGGATTTGATTATAACTGCAGATCAATGACAGTGCAAAATAGCCTACTGTAACGTCTGCAATTATATTAAAGAAATGAATAAATGAACATAAATGAACAGAAACAGCCCCTTATAGTCTCCGATATGTCACCAACTACAGAAAAACTACACAGAGCACACATTTCGTCCTTAATTAGGTTTAAAACAACACAAAATATAGCCCACAGTCAGTGAAAACCTCTGTTAGAGAGTCATTCTTTCATTCCAAGTTCATATTAGTCCAAAAGGTGATGATAAAAATGAAAACAAGGCAGTTTGTTCACGTTTGCTGAAGAAATTATATCCTCCTTTTTTAGTGCTTCATTCTCGCGTTTGTCAGTGTCTAACAGGATCGGGTTTCAAAAGCACGTCAATAATCAAGCGCATGTTATTATAATCAGCTCAAGAAGTTTGTTATTTCAGATATAGACGCACGGCGAGTGCAAGCAAGAAAGCGAAACCGCTCAGGCTTCAGACTGGCTCGTAGAAAACTACGAGGCACAGGGTAGATTCTGCTCTACTCCATGGCTTTGTGGCTGTTCATCAAGACGACGACAAGGTGTGTTTGAGCCCGGGTCGACCATGGCTCGTTATTATACGTATATATAATTCTGCTGTAATCTCTCGGGAGTGTATTTAAAGCATGTCGGCTTTTTTGTTTTCATTCTGGCTTGTTGCGTAAGCGAATGACATATCTCTGTAAACCAATAGCGTTCAGCTGCGTGTCTAGCTCCGCCTTTTGGTACCCTTTCGAAAGCGTGCTGAAAAACTGGTACGGTTCGGTATGCCTTTTGACAGTGGAAACGGGCAGAAAAGCATACAAAACTGAACCCTACCATATCACTCAGTGGAAACGGGCCATCTGAGGGTTTTGCATAAAAAGCTGAAGTGGATTTAGCTGGGTTTGACGCAAAAGAAATTGACCTTGTTAAAAAACAAAGAATGGTCCAAAGTGACATTTTTGAAAAAATTTACCAGCTAATAACCTTATTATTACATATAAAATGAATCTTCTGAACCTAATCAGAGGAGCCCGATAGAAAATGCTCATTTACAAGACAAGAGGTCTGATGGATTTAGAGGCTTTTGCATCTGAACTCTTCATATATTCGTCCAGTTCCTGAAACAGGCACTGCATTACAGTGTTTTGCTGTTTCACATTTTACAGCCATCAAATCAAAATGAGACTAGACAGCACAATGCATTAGGAAGTGTGTGTGTCTGTATGTGTGTGTTTGTTGGTGGTGTTAATGGATCATGGTCAGTCATACAGTTTTGCTAAAGTGTATAGCTCTGGAAAGAGTGTGTGAGAGTGTGTACACACACCTGGTGGGTATCCTGGGCTACCTGTCTGATAAAGGTTGGCTGTGTAGGCCGGGGCAGTCGTTGGATAACCTCCGGGATAACCTGAACACACGCAAAAAGAGACACACATTAGAAGTGACACTGAAATAAGTTTAAAATCAACACAACATCACAATTAACATCTGAATTCAATTGTGCTGAAGTACACTTCTGATGATTTGACTTATGCTTGCTTATAGAAAATAATAATATTTAGAAATATTATGACAATTTAAAG